AGTAACAAATAACTTCTAAGTATATATAGAACAAGTATAGCTTCTGAGATCACATTGACTATTTAAGTTCTTCATTGAACAACGAAAGAATCTGAAGGAAATGGTAGCTTTATAATTTTTCATGTAATAGCTTCAGTTCAATAAAATCACCGTAAAATGCAACATTTAGAAAAAGAATTTAATTTGTCTACTTTATGTGAAAGACTAGTTTAATTTTAGCTGTGAAGCTAGAAATTTTTTAGAATTATAGAGTAAATTTCTGCAAAAAAATCATGCCGCGCCGCTGCCGCGGTGGCTAAAAAAATGAAAAGCCGCTGCCGCGCCACTGCCGCGGCACCGTTATGAATGATCTGCCGCGCCGCGCTAATCTTTAAAAAAAAACTGCCGCTGCAGCGGCGCGATGGACATCTCTGACTCATATTTGCACCCATCCACACCACCCAACCTATACTCACATCGTGTTAAAGTCTTATAATCTTTCTGAAGTGATCAAGATTCCCTAGATCCCTTTTTTGAGAACGCTCCTATATTCAAATCATTAGTGACTCTTCGCGATAGAGACAATTGTTCAAAAAAAAAAAAAAACTTCAAAATAATTTCCCGGTTTTTATACTACTTTAATGTCGAATTCTATACTCAGCTTATTAATTACGTAGTACAAATCAACCGTTTGTTTTCAACTCACATGATGGAGAAACTTGAAATTCTGTACGATTTTCAAACACTGACCACCAAACGTCAGTACTATTTGCTACTGATGTTGCACGATTAAGGCTCATTGTAATATTTCCAAAATATTCATATGGAAAAACTAAATAAAATTATTTTTACAATATAAAAAGAAAATAATATTATTAATAAGATAAAATACTTGTTTTGAATGGATCAATATGCCGTGGTTTTGCTTTTGGTTTAACATGTAAAAATCGTGGCAATAATTTGTTAATTGTAAATTGCCTAGAAAAAAAAAAAGAACAATAAACACGAAAAAATTTCTTAAATGTTAAAATAAAAATTTCAAGAAAAATAAAACTTACGTCGTTGTTCGAGAATCAAAAGTTTCATTAAGAATTTCAATAAGTGCTGTTCGAATTTGTTGATCGTCGAGTGTAATTTCAACTATATTTTCACTTGTCACAACTGTTGTTATAGGTTCTGAATCATGTCGATTTGGTGGATTACGTGTGATTGTATAAGAAAATCGCACAGGTACTACGGTAGTGTTCGATTATAAATTATGAACAACAATATCACGTATTGATTGACTTGTTTCCCATAGATCAACACTTCTTGAAAATAAATTTACACATCGAATATCATCCGGATTAAAATCACGTAGAAATGCATAAGCAGTATCCTATATAAATCTTAAGAAAAATTAAAACAAAAGCATTTAAATATCAATAAGATTTACTTCAACTCTTGGACCGAGATTTGATGAATAAATTGACGATCGTAAGTTATTATAATCAGCAGATTTAAATGAAACTATATCAGTATCTTGTGCTGTCATTTTAAAAATTGGCTATAAAAATCAAAATGATTTTAGAAAGAAAAGAAAAAAGAAAATTTTCTTTTTTGTTTCCTTACTAAATAACCACCTAATTTAATTTCAACATAAACTTCTGTTGGTGGATTTGATTGATAAAATGATGACGACAATGAAAAGAATAATAATGGAAACAATATTATTAATATTAACAAAGCGAATAATAAACCAGCAATACCATATTTCAATAGTTTTGATCGAGGTACACCACGTTTTGTTGGATATTTCTAAAGAAACGATAAAAACAAAATAATTAAAGTTTTCATTATTTATTTATTTTTTTTTTTTTTACTTTTTCTGTCCATCTTGCACATTTATTTAGATAAACATCTGCATAAATATCTTCTAATTGAAACCAACTTGTTAAACCAAGTGCTGTATTTGTAAAGATCCAATCCATAATTCTTCTTAATTCAAGTAAAAATGGGATTATTGAATAACTAAGAAAAATAATAAATAAAAATTATGTTTTTATTTTGAAAATTCTTTACATTCGATATAACATTTGATTAATATAATTAAAACGTTTCATAAAAAAATTTCCTGCAATACGTTGTGGATAACCTAATCGTATTTGTATTGATGAATAACCAAAATAAATACATTTGAACAAGTACCAAAATTGAGCGATAATGTTGTCACTGAATTTCCTATTGATAAAAAGTTAAATTTTTCAATAACAAAAAAAAAAAAACAAAGAAAATTATTTTTCATACGTTCGAGTTATTTCAGGTAAAACAAAAAATAACCATACATGTACCGCTATGACTTGAAATAATTGAAAGAATAATTTACCACATACATTACGACGAAGATAAAGTGCACGATCAATTATAATTAGTATAAATTGAACTAATAACATAACAAGAAAAGCCACAGGAACCTATAATAATCTTAATTAATAAAAAAAAAAAGTTAAATAAAATACAATTTTTTACTTTATTTTCTTGTATTGCTTGTACAACATTTTCACCACTTCGTTCCTAAACAGCATTTTTTTTTATTTATATTTTAATAAAAACAAAGAAAAAAAAAAGAGAAAATGAAAGAGATAAAATTTAAGTGATAGAAAAAAATTTAGTCCAGGAGAAAGTTTTCTTTTCATGTTCAGCATTAAATTTGAATAGCTCTATTAGCCAGTCCATGTAAACCACGAGCGACCTTTCTGAATCGAGTTGGTCAGATTTTGTTCAATATAGACTGTATTATGGAGGGAAGATTTCTAAGAGTTTTGGCACAAGCTCTTTTGAAAAATATTCTTCTGTTCCCGAGATTTTCAAATTTTTCTGAGGTCCCCCTATATACTAAAAAACATTATTTTTTTTGAAACTTTTTGTGTAAGCCATATCTCGTAAAAAAAATATTCTTCTGGCTTAGAATTTTTACTGTGAAGACAACTCAAGTAGTTGCACTTATTGTAGAAAAATGGATTCAGATTAGTGAACTACTGATTAGTTGATCAATAGTAGCAAATCCAAGAAAAAATTGTGACTTTTCGAGGTTTTGTACATATACATATCTCATGAATAAATTATGCTAGAGAGTTGAAATTTCCGGTATAGAAAGACGTCATTGAGTAGCCATGCTAGTCACAAATTAAGCTCTCTATGTAGTTCGGTTAGCTCAAGCCAGCCTGACTCAGAGTTCCTCCCGCTTAATCACTTAAGCTCCCCATGGATACTGACTAACTACATTGGAGAAAGTCTCCACTTTTGGAGCGGTCTATCTATCAAAAGACGCTATAGCTGAATGATTAAGATGTTCGACACATATCCGCAAGATATTGTGTTCGAACCTCGGCGTCAGCAAACATAGAATGACCTTGGACAAATTATTAACGTCTGTTTGTCTCTGCCACCCATCCGATAGCACGCTGACTATGTGTGACATACACAAAAAGCCCTTGTAACTAGTATGTAGTTAGTCAGTATCCATGGGGAGCTTAAGTGATTAAGCGGGAGGAACTCTGAGTCAGGCTGGCCTTCTGTCCAGAGTTGCAGCTAGTGATAGTTGTAGGAAAACATCGGGCTTTCAAAACTGTCCTTGAACAGCACTCTATACTGAAAGGTAGCCGAAAGGCAAGAGTATTCTTCTTCTTTTACCTATCAAAATATGCGACGAATGGAAGTCGGACTCCTATGGTTTCAGACTACGCATTGTATACTACAACGTTATCCAGGTATTCGCCTGGGATTTCTGAGAATGGTCTTAGGATCCTTGCCGAAATATACTCAAAAATGAACCCTTTTCTATAGAAACTATATTCAAGTTTGATTCTAAATTAATAGAAAAGTTTCATCATATGAAATAAATTCTATTCAGTAAAAATCAGCACTTCACGCACTAATAACTCAAGTAAAAAAATGTTTTAAAATGCACCAAAAACGTTTTTTCGAAAAATCTCTGTATTCCTCTCAGGAACTTTTGATGGAAGATTCTTTGCGCGAAACTCCCTTATCTCATAGGGCAATTT